AAGAACAGAGTGTCTTCCATTTATTAGACACGGCTAGATCGTTATTTTCCATGTCTTAGTAAAGACACATAAATAAAAAAAGATATATAAGAGCGCGAAGTTTAAATATAAAAAAACTTACATTTTTCTATCGCCATCCACGTGAGATTGAACAGTAAAACCAAACATGGACTTATAGTTTCCTGTGTATACTACCCTGGATGGGATGTCCACATTGAAGCCCATGGCACCGGCCAGAGCACAAATAAAAACACACAAAAGCAAGGCCATCGTTAATTAAACACCAAGTCACAACACAACACAGACACTTATTTAAATAAAATTATATAATTCGTCCTCATGTTTCGTTTCGAGTTTACGTTCGTAACTTTGCGGCTTTGCGACGTACGCTCCCCGCGGCGAATAGGTTTTAACTGACGGAGACGGCGTTCGTCGCTCGACACGACCGTAAGTAGTGACTACAAGTAGTGTAGCATGTGAGTAGACTACGAAGGCGACTGAGTGACAACTGCCTGAATTCAAAAGCATCACAGCAGTTAATCAATATTTAAGTGAACCTATGTAGAACCAGGTTCTCACCCCTATCCGACATAGGGTCCTCCGATAAAATATCAAACCAATTCCTAAAACGCTGGCAGTGTACCCGCTGAAGCATCAGGTGAGTCTTCTGCGTGTTTGTCCCAATTCTATAAATAAAAACATTAACTCAAGGATAGTGACACATTTGTGTCTGACAAGAATGTTGTTATCCCATTTCTAACCTAGGACTTCTAAGATATTCGCATTGAATAAGCCAGTGCGTAATGTAATTGTCTGAATTTATTATGTCATCGTGACGAATTTATATTAAATTGATTATATGTTTTGACGAATGACAATCATAAATTGATTCATATATGTATTTAATTATTATTGAAGGCTGAGGATACTGAATACGTCATCTTGAGATAATATATAATTTAGGCGACTCTATATAAATAATAATGTTTTCACTCTCATTTCTAATTTTTATATGGCTCCTGATTTCGTTTATATAAAGTGGCTCTCTCACACCTTTTCCAATACATATATTAAGCTTTGTATTTATGTATATAACGTAACGTATAACGACTGATCTGAAAAATATACATCTAATGCGTACTATTCTAGATATTTGTTTAAAAAATTACTAATAGTAGAGGGGAGCCCACAGCTAAATGGGGATACTCGAGCGTCGAGAGACCTATTGGGAACAAAGCTTAGATAAAAAGAAGAAAAAATGTTATATGATAAATTCCTTTTCATCGGTGGGGGAAGCGGCTATAGATAGTAAATATGAAAAAAAACTGTTGCATGGACATCCTCGAGCGCGCAGATATTGATAGCACATGCCCTACGTATTTTTAATAATGTACGATGTTAATCTGACGTTGCATGATGCGGGTGGTTGTATTTAAGGGTTGAAAATTAAAAAAAAAAAAAATTATCGAGCGCGTCAGATTTTCTAAGGGAGTGTAAGTGCACCAAAAAAAATCTCTCATTCACTAATCTGACGATTTCGATGGGACGCAAACCCACAGCCATTTTCTTAATTTGCAAAAAAAAATCGCAATTTTGAAATACTCAAGGCGTCAGATTAAGAATATGTGGTTCACTTTATGTTCTAAACGTATGTCTCAAATCTGACGATTATCTAGAGGGATTCGCCTGATCTGACAAAAAAAAATAGAAAAACGGTTCACCTAAAGGGCCATCCCTGCAACTTCCCGCTAATTCCATTCCTGGGCGCTAAAATTGAATTTTGAGCTCGCTGAGTTCAAAGAAATAACATTCTATGCATTTGAGCCTCCCAGCTCGAAAGTCTGATAGAAGTTTCATAGAACACTATTTTTGGAATTTTCAAACCGCAATAACTTTTGAATGGATCAAGCAATTTTCACGCGGTTGGCGGCATTCGAGCAGTTTATCATTCTCATAAGTAATTTTGCAATTTTAATTGATCGAACCTCAAATTTCGGAGTAATCCCGAAAAAACACTTTTCGGGTTCTTTCATGTACGATATCTCTCGAACGAACAACCGCTTTTGACCAGCTTGGTGGCGATCGACGTGGTTTTCAAGCTCAAAGGCGGATTAGTTTTTGAAGTTGACGATAAAGAAACCACTTAAAAAAAATATTTCTTATTTTTTTAAGATTTTTCAAAATTTCTCAAAATCTATCGGTCCGAATCGGTTCAAATTCACAGGAAATGTAATTTTGAGGGAAATATTTTGAACGCCGTTAGTAGATTCCGATCGGTTTAAGGAAATGTAGGCATCACGAGTGCACGCATTTAACTTTATCGACGAATTTTGTTATTTCGGCTTGCGGAAACGCAGATTATATATTTTTCATTATTCTGGAATTATTTCCTTCAAAATAAAAGAAAAATTAGCTACGCTCGAGAATGTCGAGATGACGTTTTTTTTACAATTGTTGCCCTCCCCTTTTTTCCGTCACTCTCAAATTGTCAGATTAGTGGAATATACACTTTTTAGGATTAATTAACTCACCCTACCTTAATCTGACGCGCTCGGGAATTTCTGATGGTCAATTTTTTTTACTAATCTGATCCTGTCTCCTTCACGCGCGGCCTTATATATGGGCCTCATATTTTGTGGAGGTACTTAACCGGGTAAAGGTATCCCCCTATATAGTAATCTGCCGCGCTTTAGAAATCCCGAAATCCCCTCTTGGGCTCCCCTACCATAGAGGAAATATATTTTTTGGATTGCCCCCATGGGTGGTTATTAATAAAAGTAACCAAGGAGATAACATATGCCCGTTTTCTGATTGTGTTCTGACCAAGCTTCGCAAGAAGACCAGCCATCTTTTCGCCATCACTATCTTTCGCTTTTATAGAATTTCACACCCAACATTTTTTTTAGAATTAAAAAAGACATTAATTTCATCACTATTTATTTCCAATCACAACAATCATTTATAAAAATACTAAGTGAATACAAAATTCTTCTTACGACTAAATATTGATCAACAGTAATTACGTAATAGGAATATATTAGATATGAAAATAACATGAAAACATATACGATTTCGCTATTATAATATTGCATAAGAAACGCTACCTATAACTATTTAGGTAATAGTGTCTTTGATAAGTCTGAATTACACAATTCAACCTTAATTAACACGTTAATGTATATTTGACACTGATAATACCGCTATATAAGAATCGGTAACATATTAACAAAAAACAAATTATATTCAAATTCATGTATACATATTCTTATAATACGAAACAGCACTATAACATAATGTTACTTTTTTAGGCACATCTGCCTTTCTTTTTATATTACAATTACATTACAAGTTAAGGGAATGACCAAATGTCTACCAATTAACTAACCATATTTCGAAGTCATCACTTTACACAATGACCTTATTCGCCTACATCAGACTAATTTTATGACCAAAAGCTCTGATCACTTTTTACCATAATAAACACAATTTGGAAGAGATAAATAAGTGAATTGGTACTTGAGTTGTAATAAGATCGTTTTTATTACAATAAGTATAAAACAAATATACAAGATTGCCACATATGAATATAGGCGTTACACTGTATTGAAATTTTATTATTTATACGTACCTATACGTGCACGTTACAGCGTATACGCACGCAATGAAAACGACATCAGAATATTTATATCTGAATTTAAAATAAAATAATACTGACATCAATACATTTCTTAATTCATGATTTTACATTGAAAATATTAACCCATTGACTAAAGACATCCTCAATTAATATTTAAACATATTAATGAGAATCAATTCCATTAATATAGTATAATTGTTTCATTATTAATTTACCTTATCATTAGAGCCTCCGAGGGTATTTGTGCGTCACCCTAATATGATATTTATAATTAGCAAATTAATAATCATTAAATATATGAGGGGTATATCAAAATAAATTAATAATAAATATATCAAATTACAATACGATTGATATATTTTGTTATAAGTGACAAAAAACTTAACGTTTATATATTCAATTCACTAAACACGACTTAGTAGGGTTTTAATTGAAGTATCGCGAGATTCCTCAGGTTTTTATTCCCTCTTTTATTTATCATGTACCTATCTGGATTTTAGAATCACAGTCAAGGCTTTTTGGCTATACTATTTCATACTAGAACCCTTTAGAATTCTAAATAAGACAGCGCAAAGGTAAATTTTCGTTGCATTGGTAGTTTATATATTAAATAATAAAAACATAGTCCTTATTCTGAAACACCGGGTAAAGTTATAAATCTTATCTATTTAAAACACCTAAAGCTCTCTGTAAAATAGGTATTGAACGCGCGAATTGCTGCAATAAAATTCTGAATCAGGAGCTTTTGATAGTAATCGATTAAATAGACTGATTAATTCTTGTAAATAAGAGTTCTTTATAAACCAATTTTGCGCTCAGACGCAGTTTCCACTCATTGGCATAGCACCTAATTATGTGTAACGAAAAATAAAACCAGTGGCGTTATAATATTTTATGTCTGAGATTCATGTGTTTGTTGCATTAATCCTAGGCAAGTTGGTGATCAGCCTTCTGTGCCTGACACACGAACTCATGCTCTGCCGAGGTTCGAACCTACGACCTCACGTAGTCGCTGCAGCCACTAGCCCAACACTGCTTACGTACGTAAAAGCATCGTGTAAAATTTTCGATTTGTTACGATTTTATGATAAAATCCTGTATTCACGTAATAAACTTTCAAAGAGCCAAAATACGGACTTACACTTGCGCTTGCGCAGGCTAACGCAGTCCATCTCAAATATACACTTAATGGTAAAGCTACCATTCTGGTTATAATATTTTTTATTTGGTAAAATATTTACCAAATGTTAGCGACTTCTTCACATTAGAATTAAGTGAACTTATACTTTATTTTAATAACTTAATGTATAATGCAGTCATCGTACATGGAATTAAGTGAAAGTGGTCATTTATTACCCCTTAGCTATGATTTGGAGAACTTAAACACGCTCGGAACACTTTTCTTCTGAGGCTTGTTTTCAGCTACCTTCAAAGAAATATTGAGTAAATTGTAACTCTTTGATAACAATTATATACATATTTTTTTATTTCTTTATAATAATATTCTAAATATGTGCCAAATTTTGATGGATATGTTTAATTTAACTTAGAACAACAATTTAACAGAACTGCTTAGACGGTCATTGTATCGGTATTAAAGTTTTTAAGCATAAAGTCAAAATAAAACCTTAGAGAAAATAAATTTCGACTTTAAAATTCATTCATAAAAATCAGTTCATTCGTTTTTGTAGTAACTTGTTTCCAGATATGTATAATATTGTGCTAGGTAGATATTTATTTGGTAGATCGTCTACTATCTATTTGAAATCGTAATTTTTTTATCCCCTTTTCTATGATTTAAATCTCATAAAGAGCTTAATAGATGGGTACTTACAGTTCTATCTCCTAGAAGTAATCTGGCCTTATCTTCTTCCAAAGGTTCAGGGGCAGCGGGAGCGCGTCGGTGGAGCTGTAATTTCTGTCTAATCGCTTGTGATAGCAGAACTCTGATAACAAAACATTAGTTTCATAGTGATGTGTACTCGGAATCTTACACCGTCACTTTTAATCGGCCTGTCACCTCGAAACAATAATTGTTTTTCCCGGATATCAAACACACGTCTTCTGTTAAACGCAACACTCTGCATCGATAAATCTACTGGAATTTACGACATATATCTTAGTTTTAAAATCTTTTTTTTTATATGAAGACAAAGATGCTCATCTGGTGTTAATTGAAACCGCCTCCACACATACATTCCATAAGGCTTGGAAGTGCGTTGCCGTTCTTTAACAAATTGGTACTCTCTTTGCTTGATGGAATTAAATAATTAAAAAAGCAATGGGCGTAACCACAGGTTTCCGTTTCGTGATAATTTATTTTTCTTAATAGGCAAGTTGGTGATTAGGCGTGATGGTTTCCTTGCCATATTTTCCTTCACCGTATGAGCGAGTGTTTTGTTTAGTCTTTTGGTACACAGCCGGGGACTAAACCAACGACCTCAGTGATGAGACTTGAAGATTGACGTACTACTGATGATTTATATAATTGCATGATATATGTATAACAATTTCATTATAAAAACAAAAATTATTAAAATTCTAGTTCTTACCGGCGTGTGTCGTTCTTCGTAGCCAACAAGAGATCAAGCCAGGTCCAGGTGACATTGTGGTACTCCAGCGTGGGCAGTAGCAGTGGCAGGTCCCGTACGTCTTCCAAGTTCTTCTCCTTGCTGCCCTTGTATGACACACGTACGGGCACTTCAGGAATCTTAATGTAGATGAAAAGTTTGTTCTTCTCTGCGCGCTCCTATTTAAAAAGTTAGAGTCAGTAAGGACAACTTGCAGTCAGTTGTCAGTGGAATCTTATCTATGACAAATTGTATTTGAAATTATTAATATGTCTTTAATCCATGTAATGATAGGTTAAGGAAAATGGAGAGGCAGGCAGACAAAAGTACAGTAAACGGTACTATATCAGCAATGCATTAGGAGACCGTCCGCCGTTTTAAAGCAAAAAGAAAGTCGAGAACCTCAGCCGAAAGTAAATGAAGTCGAGAATCTCAGCCAAAAGTAAAGAAAGAGACTAGAACCTCTGCCGAAAGTTAAGTAAAAGTCGAGAACCTGATCCGAAAGTAAACAAAAAGTCGAGAATATCTGCCAAAAGTAAAGAAAAAGTCGAGAACCTCAGCCTAAGGTAAAGAAAAAGTCGATAACCTCAGCCGAAAGTAAAGAAAAAGTCGAGAACCTCAGCCAAAAGTAAAGAAAATGTTGAGAACCTTAGCCCTCAGCCGAAAGTAAAGAAAAAGACTAGAACCTTAGCCGAAAGTAAATAAAAAGTCGAGAATATCAGCCAAAAGTAAAGAAAAAGTCGAGAACCTCAGCCTAAGGTAAAGAAAAAGTCGATAACCTCAGCCAAAAGTTAAGAAAAAGTTGAGAACCTCAGCCCTCAGGCGAAAGTAAAGAAAAAGTCGAGAACCTCAGCCTAAGGTAAAGAAAAAGTCGAAAACCTCAGTCGAAAGTAAAGAAAAAGACTAGAACCTTAGCCGAAAGTAAATAAAAAGTCGAGAATATCTGCCAAAAGTAAAGAAAAAGTCGAGAACCTCAGCCTAAGGTAAAGAAAAAGTCGATAACCTCAGCCGAAAGTAAAGAAAAAGTCGAGAACCTCAGCCAAAAGTTAAGAAAAAGTTGAGAACCTCAGCCCTCAGGCGAAAGTAAAGAAAATGTTGAGAACCTTAGCCCTCAGCCGAATGTAAAGAAAAAGTCGAAAACCTCAGCCGAAAGTAAAGAAAAAGTCGAGAACCTGAGCCGGGATATACAATTTTTAGGGTTAAAATACAGTGTCGAGACTTAGTGCTATCTATGACTCCGTATGTCAAATACTTTTTTGTCATACGGGTCTAAATCTGAGGGTCTAATAATTTTCTACATTTTAGTAGACCTGAGTGATAACCTGCTTTTGAATTTATTTATTCCTATAAACAGATGGTAATGAAACAACATACCTTCATTTTCTCAACATCGTCTTTATCCTTCTTATCCCGCTTGACATAGAAGTTAGAGTTGGAATCCTTGTTCTTCTTTCGCGACTTCTTCGAGACCAGCGTTCCGCTGTTTCTACCTGATGCACCTTCCCCAGCCTCTTCTTCTCCTTCCTCCATGGCGTCTGGATCTCGTTCCGGGAAGCAAAACTTCAACATTGTGTTGAAGAACTTCTTTGTCATGCCTATGGAGGTATTAAATGTATAAAAACTTTGTCATACTACCTTTCCGTGCGAAGTCTCACAAGATTGACAATTTCGCAACTCCCTTCACATCTTCGGTAGTATAGTGGTAAGTATCCCCGCCTGTCACGCGGGAGACCGGGGTTCGATTCCCCGCCGGAGAGTTCTTTTTTTTTAATATGTTACATAATTATATAAATTGATCTAAGCAATAAAAACATACCAATCCGAATGGGCACAATATTGACTTCAAAATGTTCTTTCACAGATATTCCGCCTACGGGTGGTCGATCTCGGCAGAAGACGCGTAACGCCGCGCGACGAGCCAATGGTGCACGGCCGGACGCTGCTTGAGGTACTAAGACCTAAAATATTAACTCCTTTATATGAAAAAAATATAGTATTTTATCTATAATAACATAATATATTACGTCTTAACGTTGACAATTTACTTAAGAGATATTTACCAAGTGTTCATATGTGCTATAAGCACTGCAAAGTTCAAATAAGAAATTTATCAATTCCATACTAAATTTAATTATAATAATTATATCTGAGACTAACCAAAATTATTATTAATAATAATAAATTTAAACCTTAACACAAGTCATAAATGATACTGCAACCAATAAAAATAAATAAATTGAAAGATTAATTCTGCATTAAAAAAATGTCTTAACGTCTTAACTTAACCAACCCCTAATTTTGCACAAACTTACACAATCTTCGGTAGTATAGTGGTAAGTATCCCCGCCTGTCACGCGGGAGACCGGGGTTCGATTCCCCGCCGGAGAGAAACTTTTTTATTTTTACGCAAAAAAATTTTACTCTATTCCATCGCATTTAAATTTTTTCGTGTTAAAATTTACGTTAGATAATTTGTTTGTATGTATGTATCGAATAGCATACCTCGGGGAATGGTTCATTAGGCAGAAGATTCGTAACTCGTACATAACCCAACTCTAATTGATGTTCCACAGAGTCATCTGATCGGGAAGTTTTCGTATACCTGAGATAAATTATAAAATAGCAATTATAAAAAAGTTTTAAACAAGTCAACAGTGGCCAAAAATCATTTTTCCTCTCCAATTAAAATATTTAAATATATTAATCTTAAATCTTAATATATTATGTTATATTTGATATAAAAAATATTAATAAAATCTAAGCAAATTATTTTAGATTAACTCACGATCTACGGACAAAAAGCACCGTTTAAAACAAAATAAGTGTCAACTTTTTCGTTTATTTTTTTTTTTGCCTTAAGTGTATCCAGTGAAAAGATATATTTTTCAAAAATGGCGTAAACTTGTAGATCTTACTTACAAGAAGTTGGTAAGCAGCAGATCAGCAATGCCCAGCTGCCCATCTGCATCAGTGAGTCTCCAACGGGCAGACTTAAAGCATATCTCATTATAGCGATGGGGCGGAGCGTGTGGCGATCGCGGCGCAGGCGCACGTGTAGCGCAACCCGCTTCACGCCACGCGCGTACCATTGCATCTAGCTCTTCACCTAGGGACCACGCTGTTTCTTTGCATTCATTTACCTACAATAAAAATTCCAAGACTCAAATTATTTTATATAAATTTATTAATATATTGTTACTCTGGGATAATTTAGTATTCTAATAGCGAATGAATTTTGAAAGCGGTCCTGATCTTAAGTTTATTCGTTACAAGAATACACATATATACCCTTATAATATCTATTTATTTTAACGAAACACATACAGACACACATCGAACACACAGCATAAAAATAACAAAATAGACATAAGACAATACATGCATGTGCATCAATGGCAAGCGTGCAAGACATTTAAAGGGACACATTACAATTATAAAAGAGAAAAGAAAAACAATAAAAATAAACCAAATAAACTAGATTAAGAAATACAAACATTAAATTAAATATACAATCTAAAAATTATCCATATTTCTTCTTTGCAATTTATTATTGGTGACGGAACAATAGCTGCATCATTTACGCATGAAGACATGGAGACTGCCATAAAATGGATTAGCCTCGCATGTATTCAGTGTCGTTTACTGCAGATAGAGATCTGTTTAGAGCAGCATTACAAACAACTATTAGTATAGATAGAGATATAACCTAAACTCATCGCCAATATGTTCCTTGCTCAAGTGGTACGCTAGGGTGCTATTAATTCCCAAGTCCCATATGTTTTTGGATTACAAAAATTCTTACCTGATCATCCAAACTCTTCAACTCAGCCAGAGCTATAGGGTCGTTGCCAGTTATGGATCGATTCTTCAAATAATATTCCTTTTCTAACCGACGGAGACGGGCCAGTGTCTCTCTCACCTAATTATAAAAAAAATCAGGAAAGATAACAACGTCAAAGATACTATATTTTTGACTACAGAACTTTTGTTCAATGTTTGGGAACTGTAATAACGAGTCGTAAATTGTAACGACATAATTAATACCTGAGTCTGCAACTTGTGTATGAGATGTCTAGGATCTGTGTCGCGATGCAACTGTAGTTGGAACCGCATGCGCGCGCGCCGTTCTAACGCTCGACGTCTTTCAGGCTCCACGTGAAGTACCACGTTATTTATCACGTCCAACAACATTGCGTACTGAAAATTATAAAATACCTTTAGATAAGGCACTTCAAGTCAATAAAAGTGTACTAAGATCTACTACCCAATCAACCCTATATTTAAATTTTTTATAACAATATCAATAGTTTTAAATAAAATAGTTTATAGTGATTTTTTTACTCTTTTATTTGCTATTATTTAGTTACATGTAACATTTAGTTAAATAAATAACATATACAAATCTTCTATCAATGTGTAATTAAACTCCTCCAAAACGGCTGGACCAATTTTGGTGAAATTTGGTGAAATGACAATTTTTTTTAAGACAAGTGTACAAGACAACGTCTGTAACTAGTAAATTAAAAAAAGTGGACAAAATCCATTTATAACATGTTATATGTAAAAAGCATGGTAATTATTATTACCATTGGTAAATTGGTAATTACTCTTTTAAGTTTCATAATAAGGAAAAACAAATAAAATACCTGTAATGAATTAGTGCAGACATCAAGATCGTGATGCATGAGGGTGAAGGAGTCGTATGGCTCAGGCGCAGACGCCCATCCAGCTCCCGTGTTAGTACTGCTCTCACTTTCTTGGGACACGTAGTAGAACTCGCAAGCGCACCGAGATACTATCCTTTGTAACTGAAGTCAAAGAATTTATTTTTAAAAAAATTAAAGATTTTTTTTTTAATTTTACTTGGGTTTGTGCTTGCGAGTGCGTTGCCAGCTTTTCAGAAGTCAGTACGCTCGTACTTTTTACTTAAAATTATTTTACGATATGAACAAATATATTGAAAAATTTCAAAAATGTACAGTATAATTGACATACCTGAGCTAAACCAGTGTCAGCAGAAGGTCCGACAGTCCTGCCAATAACACCGCCAGCCGAGTGGCCGCTACCAACGAGTCGCGGGACGTCCGGCAACGTACTAATTTCCGCACCTGACCATCTCTCTTCAATCTCCTCTACTGACACCCATTGAATGTTTTCTGAAATATAATATTGTTTATTAATACAATGACTACTTCAGTACAAGAATATAGAAACATTATAACTAACAAGACAAGTTGTCAAAACAAAGTACTGGATAAACTTTTTGGATATTACTTATATGTTATAGTAATAATCCCGTTCCAAATTTTTTAAATTATTGCATTACCAAAGCATGTATAATAGGCACACGAAGATTTCGTAATCAAAAGTGCACAAAAGAAAGTAAGCCATCATTCGGAATTGGTCATTGAATTCCGTAAACATTAATACATAATTATTATTAAATAAAATTATACTTTATATAAAATAAAATAGATAAATTTAAAACAATTGAATTTAGAATTCGTTTTAAACCTATAAATATGTACTTCTATAAAAGCACAGGCGTAAATATAATAAAACAAAAGACTATCAAATACCATCAAGCTGATCTCGATCCGCTGCGCTGACCGTAGCATAGTACTGCATAGCGGACAGTGCGCCGCTCCAGGCCGTTGCTGCGGGCGCGCGACGTACACGTTGGCGTACTTCCGCTCGTGCCGCACAAAGTATCACGTATCCACGCGTCTCACAACCTTTTAGCACCACTTGGGAGTTCACTAATTCAACTGAAACATAATTGATTTTTTAATCCTATCTTTATTAAAGTTTGTGTGGTAAGCATTTCGTACTACATGGTTTTTAGTGGGGAATTTTTTTTTTTTTTAACTTGCACTGTACGAAAGATCTCTGTTAAGAAATAGAAATCATTACAAACGTCTGAAAATAGAAAATGTAAAGCGTGTTGTAAGATGTGATCCTGAATACATGTACTGCTTTAGGTATGAACTTACTGAGACACGCAGTATGCGCAGTATCGTCATCCAGCACATGCCTCAAATGAGGTGGATGTGGGGGCGGGGCGTCTCCCTCAGCCCCGGCCAACTCGTCACTGAACACGACGGGTGCTTCACCCCCTGCCTCACCTGCCTCTGCCACTAATGCCGCCAACATGCCTTCCGCGCACGATCCGCTACCACCGCTGCCACCCTGTAAGTACACAAATGTTTATTCATATTAAAACAACATGTAAAATAATATTTGCGGTGGAGTAATACGCCCACATTTCTTACCCTTGCCCTTTGACCTGCAGT